ATGGGTCGACGTCACCGAGACCACACTACCACTGGGAGTACGCTAAGACAGCGGTCGAACAGCGCGTTGCAGCGCTACTTTTTCGGACCGGACTGTGATAAAAAGTTGTCTGTAACAAAGTTTCTCGAATTCCATTCGGCATTGCAGGAGGAAATCACTCATATAGAGGTAACCGTTATGCGCGTACATACTCTTTGTGTCCACAGTTGATCTTGTTTTTGTTGCAGTTTGTTCTGGATGATGGCGATTTTTGGGGCTTTCCTTTGCAGTTCAACTCGTTACAACCAACCACACTTGTGAATTTTACCCATTCCTAGTTGATCTGTCGGTTTGGTTGCCATGATTCAGCGCTGAGCCTTCTCAACTTTCTTAACCACACTTGTTCGTCTGAAAAAATGAACTTCTAACAAAGAACAAGCTGAATACATGCTACAGCGCAAAGGTATACAAAATAGGCTGTTGTCCGGTTCAGTACCGCGCTGGTTCATCGTTCCACGCCCCGGGATTAAGTTGCCGGTTTCTATGAGTGTGTACTAGATTCCCGTGACTATGAAGCTTATCGTTTCTGCTGTTCATCCCACAACAGTATATGGAAATAACTTTCCCTGACCCACGATCTCTACCTCGGTCAGCATTTCGTGATCTGTATTCTCTTCGAAGACGTATATTTTACTAAGGGATTACGTTCTTTTTACTCACTGGTGCTAATGAATAATAATTGTCGCTACTTTTTTCGGAATTCGCCGGTTTTGTTTTGCGTTAGAAATGAAAAGTACACTATATACATTCAAAAGATCTCACTATATTCTTCCTAGCTAGCGCTGTTCTCAACCTATCGGTTTGTGCTCAGTAGCAAGTACTTTCTTCCTAAACCTCCCCCGGAATCAATGGTGAAGTACAACCTGTCGGTCGTTGGTTCTGTCGCGACAATTTTCAGTTCACAGGAAAATCATTTTTATGTTGAAAGTCTTTAAACTGTGAGATCCATAGTAGCCGTTCTGTTTTGCATTGCCCGTTGATCTTTTTATTCTAAAAGAAGGTGAAAGGTGTAGTTGTCAATTGACACGACATGATAAGTCCGTTTTTCACCATGTGTTAATTGATGTGTAAAATGACTGTTTGTCGTCCATCACACCACCAAAGCAATCTGCGGTCTCCTCGTTCAGTGATACTACTTTTCGGCAACGTGAAACCCTGTGATTGCTAAGAGCGTTGACTATGTCCAAGTGCCCTTGGAACGTATTTTTCTAAATTCAATTGATCTAAGGTTTTAAAGGAGTGAAGATGTATCAACTTGTGTGAGCTTTCAAAACGCACGCACAAAGTAATCGAGTGAATCCAAAAACTGACTGACAAAACGAGGTTAATTTTTTTGAATCTCCCTTCGTAAAACTTCGGAGATTTGAAGAAAATTCACTGATCAAGGTAGTTGTTATTCGATATCACTTATTATCCAGGTCTTCCGTCCTCCATTGTCATGTACATTTTCAGTCTGTAGTGTTCTATAGGTGAATGAATTTTCCACCTCGTTTCCTTGTCTATCGTGGATTCTACTCTCATTTTCGGTGAGCCGCCTGGTTTCTTTGTCTTTCGCTCCAGCTGTTTCATTCACTATAGTCATATGTATGCACGCGCCTCTATCACACACTTGGAGGAGCAAGAGGGAAGCAAATCGGTCCCGCTGTATACTTCGCATAGACCCCAACTCCCCACCTCCAATCTGCCGCTATCATCGCGTGTGCGTGCGTGCACAAATGCCACATCGTACCACACACACACATGCGTGTCTGCATTAGGAACCAGCTGGGTCAATGGCGTTGTGCGCTGACCTATTTGCTCGTTCGATGCTTCTTCTCAGAGGAACCACGTGGACAATGTTCATGTGAATGTAAGGTCACTGAGAGCGGATTGCTTACTGAGGCGCGTGAAACGTTATACCTGAGAGCCATTTGTGTGCCTTGCTCCAACTCTAATCATTGGTTTGAAATAATAGTTGGCACAAGGCGATTTCCAAGTTCCGGCTTGCTGTCTTTTCTCTGATGCATTCCACAATGATGATGCATGGTTAGCGATATTTGGCACAATGTTATTTTATGGGGCATGAAATCGGATTAGATGGTAAAGCGGTGACGGAGAAATCGATAGTTTAGGTTCAGTTTGTATACTACTACAAGTGAGTCAGAACAGCGACTCATAATGCGCGATCGTTTGTAACCTCTGAGCACTGTTTAGCATCGATAGAACTGGGAATCCGTATTGGACGGTGGATTGTAATTTTTCATTTGCCGAAAGAAAGGCATTCGCCTGAAATATTTCCTTCCATTTATTCTTATCAGATTGCATGCATTTTCAGTTTTCCCCTCCAACGTGTTCAGACTGCGTTTGGCATTCATATCCAACTAGGATTTAAGTGATGCCTGGTTTTCGGAGCTATTATTCTCTCTATTATATCTATTTGTAATTCACTTCACCTTTCCGTCCGGCTCTCCTATATTACGCCGAATACTGCTCTTGTTGAAGCGAGAGGCATCTCTTCTTACCGAAGTGCATAGTCAACACCTTGCCTCGGTAAACCTATTCTTCTTACTAGACACAGCCCGTTTCATTTTCTGTACTAGTCGCTTTGTAGTCATCGCTTGAAGGCTAAACCAAATGTGCTAACGAGGGTACTAAGGTGAATGAAAGAGCTGATTCGGTCATCAGTTTGCTCAATTCAAGTCATTAACATAACCCCTGTTCACCGGAAATAGTGAATCGAAAGAAAAGACTGACGCACAGTTGCTAAGATTATTCTGTCTACCCATTTAATTGGTGCTTTGCATTCAAGCTTTGTCTTTAGTGTAAACTCACACATCTAGACTAACGGCGATCGAAGCAGAAACAGAACAGCCATGACTGGTACTATTTTCTCTTACACTGCACTCCTAGGCACTGGATACGTCTGTTATTATTATTGTCATTACCCAACCGCGCTAATCAATCTCAAATAGTAGATGTAACCCTAGTAACGGGCAAGTGCTGTTGAAACTAGGTAGTTTTTGTCCTACTGGCACTACATACGGTTCGATCTGCCGCCGGATTGACTAAAGGTCCCTCCCCTTCTTCCGTTGCGGTCCAAGAACCAGTCCGTGTTGTGAACGGACTGACTTCCGCCTGATTTTCGCTTCCACGGTTTCGTGCAGACTTTGTTTGCTTGTATGTGTGTGT